GATGGGAGGGAGGGAGGGAGAAAAAGAGGAAGAAATAACAAAAGACCATCAAGAATACATCAAATTGAGGGCAAATATGACAAACATGATATCAACACAGGAAACCCATCAACTTACTCAGACCAAAGAGCGTGTTAAGAAGAGCATTCGGCTTAGATATTTTACGTCTTTCAATCGACCCATTGCTAATCTGAACTGTTATATGATCAATAATGAAGTGAGTTAGTTTAGCAAATCCCCAAGTTCGCCTAACCAGTGCCCGCGTAGCTATTGGTCTGCGGTTCTTGTAACGCGCGGGCTTTTTGTACACACAAAAAGCTGATCGAGAAATAATTTCAAAGTTTTCTCTTAATTCGTCCCTTGTTTGACCTATTTGGTCAGCCAATTTGTCTGAATATCTGCCAAGGGTACATTACAGAGGGCCAAGAGTAAAGTCAAGACCGAAATCTTAGGAATTAACGACTTAACATTGAAGCTCAGACAACGGGAAGTTGGTTGACTCATGACCTGGCATCGCTTCAAACTGTCAAATCTCGACATTTACGYAATTTCCTGGGTAAGTTTTCATTGTGAAAGATACATAATAGCATTGATGTAAAGTCTAGTTTTGCTTATCAATGATAAGTTATGAAATCGGCTGAATTTCTAAATGASTTTGATCAGTTTGAAAGAGAATCGTGCAAATTTGTGTCAAGGCTCCAGTGAGACTGTAGTCGGACGGCTCCTAAAGGCTTCGCGATTTATCATTTTTCAAAGTATAAATAATTTTTGTTTCATTTAGATGTTGTATTATAGTTCTTTTGGTTTCTGTTTATTGATGATACAATTTTAAATATTATTTAGATTTTGTAAGGTTTTTACACAGGCAGCCCAACATCAGTATTTATAATCTCAGTTTAAATTGAARACTGATCTTATAATTGTCTTCTTGTCAATTTTACAAAATTGTAATCAATTTTGGTTGTAATTTTTACAACTTGAGACAGTTTTGCTTGAGGATTGCATGTTCTTTTTATACTGCGATAGTGATGAAGTTTGGGCTACGTGTGTAGCATAATTATAGTTTTGAATTTAATGATTTTTTTAGTTATTCACCAATTCATCAATCAGATCTTCAATTTTTTATATTTAATCATTTTTTATCCTTCCATTGATCCATTCATTCTTTCATTCATTTTTTCATTTATTTTTTCATTTATTCTTTCACCCATAAGCCCTTGTGTTGTCCTTTTATTCTCTCTTTCCATTCTTTATTGTTTTAATATTTATCTTCCATCTTTWAAATTCCTCATTTGACCATTACAGTATAACATTATTTTCATTTATTAAATTTATGATTTTATCATTTATATCATTAAGTTTTAGTTTTAGAAGGATCTTACCATTTTCTGGCAATAGTATAATGTTTGTTGGTAACTGAATTCCAATACCTGGCTCATTGCTGGGTTCGCTAGTTGGTTTAGTGATRTCAGATATATTCTGTAATGTAATATGAAGGAGAGTTATTAATTAACACTGAAAGATACATAATAATTATTATAAAATCTTTGATATATAACACACGCTCTGATTGGCTGACGACCGTGTTTATATCAGAGGACAGAGACAYGGCTTACCAGCAAAATTTTCTTTTCACTCGAAAATTTTTATAAAAGAAATATAAAACGGCCGCTTGTGTCTCTGTCCTCTGATATAAACACGGTGGGAGTTAAAAAACACCCAAGAAGCAAGAGAAACACTCTCTACACGTGTTCGTAAGCTTGCTTCTCTCGTGTTTTTCAAATTCACACCGTGTTTATATCAGAGGACAGAGACACGCGCGCCGTTTTATATTTCTTAAATAAAAAAATAGACTTTCAAATTCTAAATACTTTATGATAGAGCTCTTCAAGTTGTCCAATATGTATCATTAATTTCAACCTCATGTTAGCAGTGTTACAAATTGGCAATTCTAAGTAAGGTTTCTTTCTGACAATACTCCACTTTCGAGATCTTATTTGTGCAGCCTTAACCTCGAAAACATGTGATATGTTCTTTTATTCAGCAGAGAATCTATTGTAATTCAAACACTCTGTCTATAAAGAATACAATAAAGATTTATGCTTGGTTGAARCTAAGTTTGCACAAAAGAGAGTTCGAAACTGGAGTAATGTATTGAATTTAGTATGTAGGCAATATGAAACAGTAATACCCCAGCACCACACCCTTTTCCCCCTTTTGGGTTAAAAGGGGTGTGGTCAACAATCCTTATCACCCAACTAAGTCTGCACTTGTTGTTTCAGAAGACATTATTGTTACATACATGTACCTTAGCCTTGCTAGAGTTGGTTGGACGAGTTGGCTGTATGCTGCTATGAATTGATCTTTTCTTTCTAACAACACCTGAGATACGTAACAATAAATACATATTAATAAATTAATTGGATAGCTGAAAGAATAAATGCATAAACMGTGTGCTGAGTGAATGGAGGTGTGGTCGTGAAAAGGATGAATGAAAGAATAAATGAATGACCCAATATATCGTAAACAGAATAAAGATCAACAAACTCACTATTTCTCTTAAATGCTGCACAGTCACACCCATTAGTGATGTAGTTTCTTTGTGAGCCCTGCAAAATAAACAAGACGCATTTAAATACTTATGCTTTTAATAATAACTGAAATATGGTAATAATGATAATGATAATTACAAACATAGAATAGAATATTAGAATATTATTTTTTTAACAATGTGAATTGCAAGTTTGTGAAAAGTAACTGTACAGCACTAAACAGTCTGGAAAAAAAAATCCATTAGCCCTTTAATAATTCAATATGTTTCTCCATGAATTAGTCAAATCAGTTGCATTGATCTTTCATTACTCTATTTGTTTATACATATGTCAATGGGCACATTTCTCATCCATCCATCCATTTCTCATTTATCCATTTTTCCCATTTATCCATCCATTTGTTGATAAATATCATTTGTTACAAATTTATCCTCTCCAGGGACCTCTTAATGAACAATTGCTTTTGTTGCTTCTAACAGATATTACAGTACTGTAGTACTGACGTCTCTATACAGCCTCAGGTAATTGGTCTCTACTTTGACAATATTTGGCCCAAGGGCCTGTTATATTTGTTATTGAATAATTATGGTACTAGGACAAACTTGACAGTAAGCACTTTTGGGATTAAACATGACTTCCATGGAATGGAAGTTTGTTGATCTTAAAATAGAAAAAGATCAAAAGACAAGACGATTARCTCAGTTTGAGTGACTTGCTATTGTGTCTTTCCCTTTCTATTTATCTGAAATAAGGATCGGATTTTGTATTCATTATGGCATTGAAGTAATCTTTCTTTCAATTTTTCATTCAATCATCCATGCATCCATCCATTTAGTCATTCATCCATTTATAATTTCCTCTGTTCAATGTATCAGTTCATTTTCACAATTTTTTAATTACAATAGTCTCATTTCTTTCTTTCCTTAACCATTTATTTACTTAACTTTCATTATCAATAATTTTTATCTATCACGATCCCTTTTACGTAATTAAATGACATTTTTRCAGCTAAAGAGCAATGTCGACGTGTTCTATTTTCTCTCTGTGAGATCAACATCACATAATGTAATGATAAGAGAGAGAGTATATCGTGCCGGAAGAAATCCATCATTAAGTCCAATCAACACACTTAGAAGTCGTTACTTGCTATATTGCAATTACAACTTTGCTGTATTTTTGAACATCAATTGTATCAAATTGTCGTAAAAAAGCATGGGAAAAAGACAATAAACTMATGATTTTARCKCTATCAACAATATGAACAAYCGCAGYAATGRAAATAGCCCTGACAATTGTATCAACATCGAGTAAATAAGGGTTAAGCTCTTACTTCAACAGCGACAACAACGATGAGCCAACAATAATGTTAAGAGTATAAGAAAAATACTTAACGATATTGACATATGACAGCAACTTCAACTAATAGCGACGAAAACAGCAGCCACGATAAACAAAACGAAATAATAAAAATAGAAATGAGAATGAAAATTGAAAAAGAGGGCAAGTTACTTTGATTTGTTTTTATTTTAATTGCATTTCGGCCAAAAGAAATTTACTGTAGGAATAACACTCACTTGTTTTTAAAATTAAAATTAGACGGAGAATTGCTATGTCACATAGGTAATCGCTTTAATAAAGAAAAAAAAAGAAAATGGAAAAAGAAAACGGAAAAAGAAAAGAAAAGAAAAGAAAAGAAAGAAAAGCAGAAACAATAAGAAATGAAGTACGTTACGTCGGCACAACTTCGGCGGAATTTCGTGGTAGTCTCGGCTCCTTTATAAATAACATTCAAGCTTTTTTGCTGCCAAGAGCGCTTATTTGAATAATATCAACTTGATATCTTATCTTTCCCATATGTTTCGGTAGTCTAGTGAATGACAATATGAAACTTTTTATGATAATGGATATCAAAGACGGCGTACAGACAAGATGGCCACGAGTCAGTCCCCTAGAAGTACATTAATAGACCAAGCGCGCGTAATTACATTTAAAAGACACAAATACTAAACTTCCATATCAGTTGACTATGGAGGCTGCTTTCAAAGGTTTTTATTACTATTTTCGTACTGATTGAATAAGTAATAAACACGAACCGAAAATCCATTGAAATGGGAAAAAAAAATGTTTACACTAAAAAGTCAATCCACAAAGTAGATGATGGTCTATCAGATTTTTTGTATAATATGATATGAAATATAATTCTAAAATATTTAGGATACTACGCGCGCTGTGATTGGTCGAAAACCATGTTTGATTACAGTATCAAAACACGCTCGCGCACGTCAAAAATTTCTTTTTTTCTTTTAATTTTAGAAAAGAAATAAAAGACGAAATTCCATGTTTGATACTCTGATCAAAACACTTGGGATGTAGGGAGAGCACTCGAAAAGCTGGAAACCACTCCGCTACGCGTCGTGGTTTCCTACGCTTCTCTCGTGCTCTCCCTACATCCCGCGTGTTTTGATCAGAGTATCAAACACGGAATTTCGTCTTTTATTCCTTAAATAAAAAAGCTGTTGCGAGAAAACAGACTAGTAATAAAAAAAACAAACAATTATTAATGAGAAGAGAGGTAATTTGAGAAGAAGTTAAATGAAATGAAAGTAAAAAAAAAAAGAAAATAATGAATTGGGTCGTAATTAAAATAGAAAACAACACAACTTCATTAGGAAAGAGAGAGCAAATTAATACGTGGCTGAAATAAAGAAGAAAGTGAGAGGGGAGGAGAGAGAAAAAAAGGAAGCGAAAACTTGTAGCTATTAATCTTACAAATTACCTCTAATTTATATACTAATATATGCTTAACAAGCAACATTTCATAATAATCTGATTCTAAACAAAAATTAAAAACACGCTAGTTGACAGCCACCCACATAAAAAACATATGAATAGACGAGGTCGGAAATTGCAGGTTTCATTGAGGGTAAATATTAATTAATCAAAAGGTGAATTCAGCTGGTTTTAGTTATGAGACGTTCTACGAGTAGAATTGAATGGATTTCTTACTTTAAAAAAAGCCCAAAGCATCTAAAATTTCATAAGAACTAAAATAAAGATAATAAAAGGAAAAACCACTGCATACTTGACTGGAATAAATGATTCTCGCTTTCTATGACTATAGTAATTAAAATTTAGAATAARCAAACGCCCTGTAGCACACATTCGATATCATGCTCAAAAAAATTGTCGAGGCTCAGGGAAAAGAACAGGTAATCCTTGGTTAGATTCGCGATAGTAAGGAAGAGATAACAGGATCAAAAAAAAAAAAAAATTCTCAATGATATTCTCAATCGTATGATCAAAGTTATTAAACATTATGAATTCGTGCGATCGCGTGGGAGTGCACGTGACATTCAAAAATGTCATGAAAATTTTGATGAAATTTTACGTAATACTAAAGAAATGGCATAATATCGTTCAATATTTATAATTTTTCAAATCCTTATCTTCCTCTGATTTAAAACTATGTACTTCCTTTCGAAAGCCTTGATTTCGAATAATAATAACATAATAAGCTAGTTTGAGTTCCTCCATGAACATATTGACGCCATCTTGACAAATGACGCTTAAAATCTTTTTTCTATCAAATSTCTTCCTGGATTTATTCGGAAGTACAAAAAACACATGCTAATCAAGAATTGCTATTTTTATTCAAACTGTTTCCTCAGTTTCCTGAATGTATTTTCTGATGTTTGTACATGATTGGTGCTGTATTGTGCATTCATAAAAACTGGAACGTGCGTTTGGTAATGCGCTTATGTAATATTTCTAAAAAACTCAGTCAAATGCTTTATTGAATTTCGAATAAAAGAAAACATATTAAAAACAACATTCCGTTGTTTGAATTACTTCACAAAATACATGTCCAATGTAAAAAATCATAGAAAAAGTTGCCACATTTGGTATGTAAACTTTTCACCACATTTCGAAACCCTTTTCTTTATTTTATTTCATTAAAAATTCAGTTTTCTTGATTTTTGCAGTAAAAAAGAGTCAAATATTTGTTTGTTATGCTTTAKCGAATGAGAAAGCACTTGGGATAGCACTCGAGAAGTTTGAGAAGCACTCGACTTTGTTTCAAGCTTCATTGAAATTTGCGCGGGCTTTTTAGCTCGGCGCGCGCGACTGTCCTACGATAACAAACAATTTCTATATTATATTTTTAATTCGTRCTCTTCTTTTGTGTAACTAGCAGTATTTTGTAAAATTTATTTAATTAGTCCTTCACGGTTGTATTTTTAAACCGTATTCATTTGCTAAAATGTATTTTTAAAAATGAATTCAAAACCATCCATCTTTCATTTTTATCTTGACGTCTTTTAATCAAACTAAAGGCTCTGTTAGGCGCTTTGTTCTTAATATTTTTTTCGTATTCACTAAAACTTGTTCCTGTGTCTAGGATTTATATTAACTAAAGTACAGAAAAGAAAAAAAGACAATATATATTCAAAATTAATTTCGAAATCTTCCTTTCAGTCACTCCCAGTTATTTCGCGTCAGTCTGTTTTCCCTTTTGTGTTTACCATTTCTTTGCTGTTTTCTTCTGAATTAYAATTCCCCGATTTTCATCTTAATATTCCTATTATCATTTTAATATMACTTTAATTTTATTTATTAACATTAGTTTATACTTATACTTTTTGCATACAAAGTTATTCGATGACAAAACCTGACACAGGCGGGAAAAAATTCATATATATATATGCCGGAATGGAAGTTTCCTTATTAAAATTTTTATATGTTTTCCATAATTATGCACTGACTATAATATCTAAAAGTGAAGGCACCCGTTGATACAATATACAAAAATCTAATTAAACGAAGTAAAGGCTGAGCGACGCCGATGGCAAAAACGCCAAAACATGAAAAGAAGATGACGAAGGCGTAACGAGGTGATYACTAGATGCTTTCATTCGATAAAGACTATCAAAAGATAGAAAATCGATTCCTGTGTGCTAATTATATTGATCATGTTATGTTCGATCGAATTATCTTATAATAAAAATCACACAAAAATGCTAAGTGCATTTCTTATTCTGATAATTAAACTAATTTGACATTTAAAATGCGGAAAACTTTGAAGAAAAGACTAAAATGAAAAATGCAGGAGCAATATTAAATGCAAAATTTGATGTTGTTTTTTAATTAAACCCAATTTAGTGCACGTTTTGATGTAAATAAAGCGTGCGAATAGAGTATGCTATACTAGATTTATTCATTTTAATTACTGAACAAAATATATCGCAGTAATGCAGGAAATTTGTAATCGCAAACTTTGCAAAACGTGAAGCTAAAGGCGCGAAATGTTTTGCATTATACCCACAATATACATCAAATAAACTCACTTGAAAAGCGCATTATTTATTAGAAAAAGCTATTTATAATTCCGATAAAATATTGCTAAATGAGCACAATATCTTAAATTATTTCATAAAAATATTTTTAACTGGAGTCTCATTAATAATAATATATTACTTCGTGCTAATCTTAATGCATATCCACTTCGTTTATGAGTGAAAATCACTTAGGAAAAACATGCAGGTCAGTGAATTGAGTGTTTGCCAGAAACATTCACCGCCYTGTTTATCGATACSTAATTTGAGATGCGGAGATGAGTTCCAAATTAACTTCACAGGAGGGAATGGTTATATAATGTTTAAGGTTTGACGCTTAAATGCGATTAGGTTTCCATGTCGGAATTATACCGTTAGAGGCGAATTTTGTAGATTTGCGGTCACTTTTGCCCGCTTAATGGTCTAAAACTCGATCAATATTTACTATTAAACTTTGTTGCGTCAAGACTCAGTTTGACATAACACGCGAGCAAAATCTGTTATGAAAAACKGAAAAACTAAACATTAAACAGACAAATAACATTTTTGTTTATTCCAAAAGAAAAATATCAAGAATAAAGTCGATTTTAAAAACAGCACTTGAAAAATATGGCTTGTTGCTAGGCAAGCGCAGATTTCTACGACACAGACAAAAATAGATTGAACTTTAAAATATGATTGACAGGGCTAAAATGTTTCTAGAAATCGATACCAGACAAAAAAAGTTGCGTATWTTTTCTCGAAATGTCTTGTATGTACATGTTGTTCTTATTTGTGTTAGTTTTATAAGTCAAATCTAGACTTTCGGCGCTAGACTAAAGGAAATGAAAAAGTGAGCGAGATTAAAACAGAACCTGTGCTCAACATTCGACAAATATCTTTGATAATATTGTATAACTCATAGAAAATTAACTAAAAGGTTTGTCCCAGACTTCTACAATAATAACATGTATAATTTAATTTCTAATTTATCTACCTAACCGATTCTTGTTCATTCATTTCGAGTGTGAAATTATTTTAGCTCAGCAAATATACTTTAGAACAATAGCAGGATCAAAGAGATCATTAACAATTACTTTGCGTCCGAAAGCTATCGGATTTCGTCGAAATATTCCTCAATATATATCCCTATTTTTACAATGTGTAACTCTATAATGTTTTATAATAAATTCTAATTCGTTAATAGAGATGTCTATAGAATCTCATTCGCCATGATATTTTTCTCTCGATAACGACTGATAAAATGGCACGTGAAGGAGTAACCAATTTTAAAATGTCACGTTTCGCTCCTTAACTTCTTCCTCAATCGCTGCAGCGTGCAATGCGATATTTATGTAGATCTTGTACAAACAAATATGTCCATAATGACCTAAACAGTGGCATTACAAAGATGACCTGTTCCACAGAACCATTTCAGTGTATTTATTGGTCATTCGTTCTAGAATTCAAAGACGCGATTTTTACTTCTAGAATTCGTGATCAAGGGTGTYAATAGAATCCTAGAATCGACCCAGTTTCGTGATATGTGTGCTGTGATTACCACTCAAGCAGTGTTCGCTTTCAAATGTCAATATTTCCATTACTTACCGATTTAGGAGAGAGCAACTGACGCACATTCCCTGGGAAGCCCTTTAAATGCTCTGGGAAACCATTCCACTGTTCACAAATTCGAACACATCTCTTTCGTAAATGCATCCCAAATCCGCCATGGCAGATCACTGCAATTACTGTCACGGCACCAACCACTGCCGACACGAAATTTGCCATTATATATATTAATTGCGACAGAATCTTCTAATGGTTAATTTCTTAACTCTAGAACGTTTGATCACGCCATTTTGAACTGATAATCGAAGGTTTGATCGTCCTCCAAAGATCTCCGGACGTGAACGAGTGGAATACGCGGGGGTTGAATTACGTTACGTGCGTCACCACATCTATACTGTACTCCAAGTATTATAGGGCTGTTATAACTATGAAAATATAATGTCGTTTGGAAATCTTCTGTGWTWATGCAGACGTAAAAAATCTCTTGGTTTCCGTTTGCCACAAAGCCTGTTGCGTTCTGTCAAATACTAATGTCACCAAGGCTGAGGAATAGCTGTTCTCTAGTTATTRATTAATCTATCACGTGGATAGTAAGGTCTTGGAAGTGAAGCCTTTTCATTTCAAAGCGCTCGTGCTGTGCCACGGACGCATTCATGATGTTTTAGAAAAAAACAACTGTTTGAACGCTGAGAAAGTGTAAACACAAATATAACAGTAAATTAAGAWTTTAATTGAGATTTTCTTCATAAAAACGATGGTTGTGGTGTTTGTTTTTAGTGRGTTTTGCCCCGGAAGCATWGGACGASACTGATGTACTAYTTCGAAAACCTTTTATGTGTTCTTAATGAGAATGTGGCTGTGGTTTATCAGGTACTTATCTGATGCGTTATTTCTGTGTCGTGTAATGAAAAGATGGTATATTTAGAGCCGTATGGACGAGGGATTTCTCCCAAAAAGGGAAAAGACATTGAAGACAAAACTAAACATGAAAAAAAAGAACAATAACAAAAACCACAACAGCAACAGGAAAAAAATTGAAAAGAAATTTTGATCTCATGTGTTGTCTGTACATCTGAATTCAAAAGATACGATAATGAAACGGGAAAGGAAATAGGAAATAGAGAGAGATAAGAAAAGAAAAATAAAAAAAGTAAGATTTCGCAAAGAAAAAACTAGATAAAAAGCACCAAACAGAAAAAAATGAGGAGGAAGAGAAAAAAAAAATAACGGAACGATAAACAAAGGCAATGGAGAATAATAAAGGCTACGTGACTAGCAACCGAAATGTAGTAGTATGAATAATTTCATTTTTTAGTTAATATTTTRCATGAGAAATGGCGAAGGAACAACAGCAATATTTCGTTAACAGATGAAATGCACCTAACATGTCTTCAACGTTGTATTTGTTAGTCTCCTTGATAATTATTATTATTACTCAAAGAAAAACTAAATAAAAGGAAAACGACAAAAACAAGAGAAGAATATGGAACGAAAACACAGACAACTTGAATCAACAATAACAAAAAATAACTAAAATTGAATAAGTAAAATATAAAAGCAAAATTAGGATATTATAGGAGAAAGGGCTTAGAGTGAGAAAACTTTAYTCAAATGATGACACATAATCTGCTATGCTTATTATTACAGTATTCAGTCTTCAGTTTGAACACCTGACATGGGTATATTTTTTGAAAGATCTTACTGAATTCTAAACAGTAGGACTTTRATTGTTTTTTAGTAAAATGGCAGAAAATTACTTGAACATCGTATGGTGTTCATTTATTTTATARCTAAGCCAATTTATGCAAACAWGAGCAWCAGCTTTTTGTCTTCGTGTATACTAAATGTATTCAGCTGACGTGACAGATGTCATTTTGATTTTTTTACGACTTAGTCTGTGGGAGAAAAGGCTTGATACGTAGGGTTTACATAGCCATCCATCCATCATTTGCATTCTCTTCCATTTATTTCTCATTCTTTACGTATTAATGAATTCAGTTTTCTATCTGATAGCGTTCATCGATTGATAGTTTGATTGATTGATTGATTAATTGACTGATAGATAGATAGATAGATAGATAGATTGATTGATTGATTGATTGATTGATCGATTGATTGATTGATTGACTGATTGATTGATTGATCGTTCGATTGGCTGAGTGATTGATTGTTTGATTCGTTCGTTCATCCATTTATTCAGTAATTCCTTTGTCCATCCATCCATTTATTTGCATAACGAGTTACTTTTTCTCTGATTTTTCATGATTATACAAATCTGTTTACCAAAAGGCGGTACGTTTTACGTCTAGCAATATTACATAAGGGTATAAGTATGTTGGACTTTTACGTACGTTTCSAGCAACGTACTTTTAGAATAAAGAACARCAACKCCCCTTTGTTGAYTTCTATTTTACGTTGGAGGAGAAGTGCGTTATTTACGTAAATACGCCCAGGGCAAACGGTAGTAATAGTCATTTGTCGCGCTGACATCCGACATTTGACTTTCAAGCGTGGTTAATTGTAGCTATTGAGWCTTTTAGGAAGGAAGGGCGCACATTTTTGTTTTGAATAAATTAATTGGAAGTCATGATCTGCACACCTTCGAATTCTATACTAGAGTATTCCAGAATGAATGATCAGTAAGCCTCTATTTAAATTACCACACGTACTGACTATTTTTAGGTAGCTAGAACGTGCAACATGAAAAGCAACACAGGTGTATTTGATAATGCCGCTGATCYTTAAAGATCTCTATTTAAACTCTATTTTGCAACTAGTATACTTAAATACTACTACTACTTAAATACTAGTTAATTATAGTTTCTATGATTATAATAACGTCTAATTATGATTTTCATTTATCATGTCTAATGATTTCTGAAAAACCAGAAATGGGAAGATTAATAAAGGTCTATTCTTTTTAAGATCTAGCCGTCAAAAAGCAATTTTCAGCGTCGCCATTTTGTGCAACAAAGCATGATGGAGTTATAGTCATCGCACTTTGTCCTCTAAAACAGTCACCCTAAGCGTATCCTTTGATGTTTTTTACACTTAARAATATAGATGTAGTTGCGCCGTTTCTACAAAGAAATGATAAAAATGTGGGAATAGAAAATGTGATAACAAAATGTAGTCGCCCCACTTTGTCTRTTGACAATCACAGTACTATACTGTATGCTGTTAGGTTGCTAGAGTGTCACGTTTTTGCGTACTGGCGCTACTCCTTATTCATGAGTAATGCCAAACTTTGCCCCATCTTTTCTCCCTTTGATTTTTATCTGGGTATTGTACGGGGTTTGGGCCATTGAGGCACAGAAAGAGACTGTACAGTTGACATATTCAGAAACTTTAATACAATCAATTCATTCAATTTTATCTTAACTATAAATAGTACGATAGTTCTATAAATATCTATATAACTCTCAAATTCAATAAAACATTCTAGGAAATAGTTTATGTAAGTATAAAAATCGGCATCAAGAATCTAGCTAAATTACACGTCGAATGTCACTTGATACTTTTAGCAATCCCGTGATACACTTCGCCCAAACAAGTATGACGTCATTCATGAAGACAATCATCATGGAGTTGGAGTAACTCGCATTGAACTCACCACATATGAGATACGGCGTTTAAAATGAACGTAACACTGTTAGCCTCCGTTGCAGCAGATTTTTTAACCACAACTGATGTACAGTCAACTCTCGCCTTACGGACAGCTATTACGGACACCTCGCTATTACGGACACCTCGCTATTACGGCCAGTAAGATACTGAATCACCGCGACAAAATACAAAGAAATGACTGAAAGTAACTCTCGTTACTACGGACTCTCGCTACTGCGGAGACTAAATTACGGTCCCGAGGGTGTCCGAAATAGCGAGAGTTGACTGTACTCTGTTTCTCAGAGAGCTTTATTCATGCTTCAAGTTTTTAGCAGCTTTTGCAGGCCAGGGTCCCCAACCGGAAGTTCCCTTTGTCACTGATGACATATGTGCCACGTGATTGCCTCTCTTGCAGTCCAGTACATTTTGGACGACTTTCTGTCGATACTCGATCCAGGACTGCGCCGCCATGTATTCTTGATAAAGTTCATCAACCGTTGGACTTCTGTGAAAATATTACAGGAATCCATCATAATAAGATAACAACTTTAAACACAATAACATTTAATGTGTGAAAAATGTTAATATGGACACTGGTGAAAAACGAACTGCGCATGTCCACAGCTTTCCCGCTGAAGTCTGCCTAATTTCCTTTGTAAAGCGACTTTTGTGAAAGTTTTTTACAATTTATAAGCTCGTTCACCGATATATAAGATTCATATTTCCATCAATCATTGTTCATGATAGGTCCTTTTAGTATGTAGTTTCTATTTTTATCTTGTCATTTCCATTTTGAGAAAATGAGGTTTTTCGTAGTGTTTTCTGTGTTGTCGCTGTAAATCGCTAGGCGCTCTGCAACGCGAGCGCCCACTGGCGGGAAAGCTGTGGGCATGCGCAGTGCGTTTTTCACCAGTGTCGTTAATATGCGTATAAAAGCTTCATGATTAATGGTTATAACAGTGATCTGTACTGACCTGTGACTTAGTACAAACGATTTACTGAATTCATCCAAAGCCCCCAAAGGACTCATTTGTAGAATTCGTTGCTTAGGAACCTTGAGTAGCCTGACCCCAGCGCTGACCAGTATGTTTCCAGGCTCAGCAAAACCTTCTGTAAAAACTATCCGAAGATCCTTTGATAGGAAAAGAACACAAAATTTAAACAAAAATTTTCAATCAGGAATAATTTGGAAATAGAAATAAGAAAA